TCAACTGAGTCCCTAGAACAGCTGTTTTCCGGAGCGGATACAAAAAATCTTTTGTGAACATCACAACCAACTTTTTTGGTGTCTTGAAGCTATAATTTGTCCAGAAATGTAAAAATATCGGTAGGTCAAATTTTAACCGATTACAATACTTTCCTTATAGGATAAAGAAAGTAAAAATAACTATTACATGCTTTTTTTAAAAATCGTATTAGTTGTTCTTCCACAATTTTAGTTGATATTTTAAACAAAATAAATGATGCGGAGTCTTACTATAAATATAAAAAGGTAAATTTTCTTCAGAACCTAATTTTACAAAATATCGTTCAAATAAAAGCTTAAAAAATATAAAAATTCTTCATTCCACTTTAATCAAAATTTTTTTTCGCAGCATTGGTCCTATTTTCGGTTTTATCAAATTTAGTTTAACGGGACTGTAGTAGTATGAAATTGAGAAAAGTACAGTTTTTTTAAACAAAATTCTGAACTGAAAACTTATTTGATTATTAACAACTTTAGAAAACAATATTTTAAATACTTTTTAATTAATATTTCTTTACTTTGATTTATTGATACTTCTTGATAACCAAATTCCATTAGGCGTACATTGGATGTTTTTAGAACGTCCCGAGTTCAGTAAAATGGACGATTTGTGGACCATCCAGCGAGTGACTGTCGATGGATGTCTTATGGACAACTTATGTATGTTTTATGGACGTCCTAGGACCAAATTGGATCATGCAAATGTAAAATGGACAGATAATAGACCATTATAGGATAACTTATGTGTGGCGGGTTTTCCTACCTTTATTTTGGTCGAGCGATGGCCCACCGAACAGAACGATAAAATTTCTTTGAGCGTAAGATCGTCAGCCAACTCGTGAGAGTTAATCCAGTACTCTATTTGGAAATTATGAAAACAAGCAAAATGTATTTATTATTCAATTTGGAAAATATTGCGATTTTTGTATTAGGGCTCATTTATACATCTTATGACAAACTCCGATCTTCATCGGTAAACGTAACAACTCTAAATGAGAAAAATACAGGGGTTTATGAGTTAGATAAAGAGACCAAATCTCTGTTGTCATTGCTTTGACTTGTGAACCCATCCGTCTGTTAACGAACGCACTCACATTTCAAGTTTATTTCGGCTCGAGCACATTAGATTAGCAAATTCATTATGTATATTAATAAATCATTTTGGTAATCTATTTATTTAAGATAAATAGACAATTTTGATAACGGAATTGGTTACTATTTCCGTCCAAACAGGATAAAGAAACATTTCTGGACGATCTTAGAACAGTATTAAAACAACTTTTGGACAGAAACAGGACCAATTTAAAACTATTTTTGGATCATTTTCTAACCGTTTCTGGATTTTTAGTCCATTTTAGGACCATTTTAGAACCAAGTTGAATCACATTTGAATTACTTTAAAAAATAATTTTTTGCAGGTACAAATTCTTTGTTAAAAATTAATTCTAAGTTAAGTTTCAAGTGTGCCATTTCAGTACTTTTGTCCAATTTTTGTGAAAGTTTTTTATTTCTCCTAACATTCAAAGTGCGCCAAAACTCGCGCCCCAGAGAAAAATAATGCAATGTAAAGCAAGATACCAAGAAAGTTATTTGTGGCTTTTATTGGCAAAATTTCTGTGTCTACACACTTTTATAAAACATATACAGTACAGACATAAAAAATGTCAAATGTCAAAAAATAAATGTTAAATTTTTTTAAACTTTTCACCATGTTGCTGGTATCTTGTCTTACTTGAAATTTTTTTTTTAGGGCGCGAGTTCTGACACCTGTATGCACCTCCGTGGTTTGCATAAATGTCACTTTTCGTAAAATTTCTTTTAATACATCTAAAAATAGTTTTTGAGCCCAATAAATATTTTATTTGAAATCATATACCATTAGAATTATTTTCACAATTGTGATAGAAATGTGTTACAATAGCTTTGTTGTTATCTGTTTAGTTCGGATTTTTATGCAGTAAAATTAGTAAAAACATGCGCATGCAGGGTGCGCTAGAACTCGCGCCTCAAAGAAAAATGTCAAGTGCCTACGGCAATAGATTGCCAAAAAGTGCAGCCAAAGAAGTAACTTTTGCTTTCATAATAAAGTTATTAGACTTGTAAATTCACCAATCCCAGAAGGGCAAGGACTTAGAAATATTCATAGAATGATAAAAAATAAGGGTTGATATTTGTAGTATTTCGTGGAATAAAGTGCAAATACTAGTGTTGGTATTGTTTTTTCTCCAGGCTTACGCGAACTGTCAAATGTGCTCGCGCTTAATAACCCGCCAGAATTTATTTTATATTTTGCGCAGTAGTGACATTATAGAACGGATCGGGACAAAACAAAATTATTTAATAGTTATTTATTCGACGAGTTTGAGTGTAAATCGGATTCTTTATTTGACCGAGTGGATTTTTAAACCACGAGTGTAACGAGTGGTTTACCATCCACGAGGTGGAATAAAGCGTCCGATTTACACTTAAACGAGTGGAATACAACATTTTATTCTTCGAATTAGAGTCAACAAGGCTTAAACTTGCTTTAAATCTGTTAAAAATAATTTGACGTTTTGTATTGAGAAATGCCAAACAGTTGTCAAAACTTCCTTACATGGGAGAAAAACCGTAAATTTTGACAGTGTCGAAGAATAAAAAAAATTATTTACACTATCTCAAAAACATGTTCAAATATATACAACCACAAAAAGTAGAAATCATTTGCATGTTTTCATTTTTATTGTAAATTAATTATATTATCACTTTGTTAAAAAATGTGACACACTTTAACAAAATCGGTCATGCAAAGGAAAAAATTCTCAGAATATTAACCAACCTCAAAAAAAATTCGAAAAAATTTTAGTGAATCGTATTTATTAAAAATAATTGCAGTTACAAATTATTTATATATTTTGCGAACACAGTTAAATAATCACAATAGAATGAAAATGTATCAGTTCGCAACGGCTGTGGCCTTCTTTAAATATTTTTTCAACCCTTTACTTTCTTTTTCCGCCTTGAAACAAACTTTGTCTCTCTTAAAATGTCCTTTAACTTTCTACAACAAATTATTATTTTTTCTCCTTTTTGTTCTCTGGACACGACTCCACATTATCTGCACTAGTATTAGGATTAAGCGCTGACTCACTCTCCATTTTTGAAACCATTTAGGTACACTACTAATTGATGTAGTGTTGCCCTATGCACTTGTAGCACCCGTCGTGAAACTAGCGGTAGCTGGAAGCCCCCTTGGTCTGACAACCGGCCCTGCACTTGGTCAAACTCATACATTTAGACATGAAGGCAACTGAGAGTTATGGCTGCATCGACTTGTCGATATCAATGAGAAAATTTGTGCTGTTCCAGCGTAGTTTATTATCCGGAAATTCGGTCAAAGTGCTTCCTAGGGCTTCCTAAAATCCTCGACGTTAGATTTCTTGTTCAGGACGCCCGCAGCGTCGTTCGGTTTCGGACACATATCTAAATTTTAAAATTAATTCCCGGTCAGACGTCCTATGACTGAAATTAAGTTGGTTACAAACTGTCGAATTCGGCATGTGTTGCCAACTTAATATCAAAGTCACACGCCACTTTGATTGATTTTTGGGCTTACCGACGCAGCAATTGCAGTTTTCGAAGGAGAATTCAAGAGACAGGCAAATATACGATGCATCGTACAACTTGGAAACTCACATAAATTATTAAAAACTAAAAATTCACCAATTAAAGTCTTTTCTAAAAATAACAACAATTTTTGTATAGTACTATGTTGGGGGTCCTTTTCATACCACAAATTTAATACTTTATTTGTTGGATTTGGATCATTGACAAGAGTTGCTTCATAATTTAAGCTAATCTGACACAGCCCTGCCAAACCAAACAGCTGTGGTCTTCTTTAAATATTTTTGCAACTCTTTACTTTCTTTTTCCGCCTTGGAACAATCTTTGTTTCTCTTAAAATGTTCTTTAATTTTCTTGTTTTCTGAACACGATTCCACATTATCTGCACTAGAATTGAGATTAAGCGCTGATTCACTCTGGATTTTTGAAACCACCTACATTACTAATTGATGCAGTGTTGCCCTATGCACTTGCAGCATCCGTCGTGGAATAAGCGGTAGCTGGAAGCCCCTATGGTCTGGCAGCCGGCCCTGCACTATTAATAGGGACTCTTTCTTAAAAACAGCTTTTATTTTAACAAAATATCACTATTCATTAATTAGAAGTTCTGTATAATAATTGCTGAAACGTTGTTGTAATTTTATGATTGCTCTGTAGGTCCTGAGTTCTCCTAAAATAAATGAAAAATATACAACAAAATCATTACTCTTGTAAACACAAACCTTAAATATATTGTAAAGACACAATAAAGACAAAATGATGCAGGCACATTTTTTAGGATTTGATTTGTAGTTCATTTAACCGGTAAACGCAAAATTAGGTAAGTTACCCTAGTACATTTCCTTCAAGACTTTCCTTTGCTTTTTAACGAGACTGTCGACGCCTTCTTTGGACTAGGGTCTTCATCGTCTTGTATCTAAAAAATAATGTGTAATAATGTTTTTTTTTCTCAAAATAGAAACTAAAAAAATCAAAAATACTTTTGCCGTTGGCGCTTCTTGTGCTGTAGCCACTTGAATTAAGAACATTTTTCATTTAACTAACAAATTACTGAGAAAATAATTACAAAAGTATTTAAGTAATAACTAATAAGTGACTTATCAAAAGATGAACTTATTTTATACCTTGTGGTGTTGTAGAGCTCGGTGCAGATGTATTTCAAACCAACAAGGGGTTTCTTTGATCGACTGTCGAGAATAATCAAGACCCCAGCCTTTAACAAAACGAAGAATACAGAGTCTTCGCAAATCGTCCACTCCTATCCCCGCCATCGCCGATAAACCTAACAGACAATAATAAATGTAGTGCACAATTTTTTTTTTCAACAAGATTATTACTTATTCCCAGCGTTATCCCACCTATTGAATGAGGGCCTGAAATGTGCTCTGCCACTGCCGCCGCTTGTGCACTGCTGCTGCTTGCGCTGTGGCCGCTTCAGTGATTATTTCCTTGTGGCATTGTCTCAGATCAAAAACCTGCAAACCTATTTAAAACCTTGTTTTTCAAATTTTAAAAAATACCTTAATGTTTGTTCCAGGATAGAATTTGTGAATCGCATCACCAGGCTTTCGTTCAGCCTTAATGCCTAAATAATAACCCTGAACGAAAACCGAATGGTCACTTAAACAACGCAACCAAACATCTTCTTCACCCCTTAAGTCCAATTGTACCCCTTTGCCAATATGTAGTCTTGCTTTCTCACTTTGTTCAGTGCGGTGCACATTACTCAATGCACCGAGGCAAAATCTGTTGCCACCGGAGGGATCCACGTAGCCGTCAATTGTCACATTTGGGCAATTTGAAAGTACTTTAAATGTTTCACCGACTTGAATATCTAGCTCGAAGGAGGCTACGGAACACCAGTATTCGGGGGCGGGTTGAGAGGACAACAAAGTGTTGTTTACTTCGTTACATTGGTTTGTGTTCCAGTAAGCTGTGTTAACACCAGTAAAAGATTGGCCAACGATAGCTATAGCAGCTAAATGACGGTTATTTCCACCTAAAATAATTTTTACAGTAACTTTTACAAAATGCAACTCGTAAATTAACTACCAAAGTTTAAATTGAAAAAATTAAAAAAGAGACTTACGATAAGACATTTGCACGTGGGGTAACCAATTAGATCTGGAACATGGAAAATGCTTGTAGTCCACTTAGGGTAATATTTTGTTGTGGAGGTTGCTGTTGTACAGTTTTTTATGTTTCGCCATCTGTGTCCATACTGCTACCAGAGGCCAGTCCAGCGTTGTATTCACTTAATAGTGCCTATTGTACTGTAAGTCCAGAAAGATCAATTCCAGGAGGCACCACGCGTTCATAATGATAAGGATTCACAGACACCGAGTCACACTTTAAGTTAAATGCAAATTGACAATGTTTTACGTGTTTGAGTTCGTTTTTTTTTTATAGAGTGGACCATCGCTAAATTCGGGCATAGGTATATCACGTGAGAAAAGTATTTTTGATCTTAGAAAGATTTATGGACTAGATAGCCTAAAATACCACAAATTGTTGTCATTGTCGGCCTCTTATCTTTTAAACTATCCAATGCAATTTCGTACAATTTCTCTCCAAAGTAAATATTATTTGCTAGCCGTGAGCCGAATGAGTTGTCCAAAAACGGTTTACTACCATTCTGACAGTTTTCTTGTATATGGGTCACCTATAAAATCATGCAAATAAAAAAAAAACTTTTGTTTATGTAAAACTAACCAGATCGACTCCTTCTCGCCTTTCGTCTATTGACTCCAAAACTAAAAGTCTAATCCTACTGAAACGTCTGAAAGCTTCATATATGCTGAAGTCCCAAAAATAGTATGTGAGGTGTTTGTATTTTGGTTATCGGATACCGGATCACTAGCCCATCTGTTAAGTAAACTCGGACGTTGCTGATCCATACACTCAACCATCCTCATATCTTCAAAACTGAGATCGTTGGGCAACAACGTCATAAAATAGCGGCTTATAATCCTCCGCTAGGCCATTACTGACCGTCCTTTGGCATAACTCCCAAAGGACGAGACCTAGAGCATAAATATCGGCTCGACGGAACGAATCAAAGTAGTCTATTCGTGGCCTCCAAGATATCTTGGAAAATAATATGATAAATCAAAAAACACTGATGTTTCGTCTAAAACCTCATGTATATTTTCGTTCCAACCTTAGGGTTCGAACCAATATCTAATTGATCGGCTTGTTGATGAGTCACCGAAAGACAAAAATCGGCTATACAACAAGTCCCGATATTTTTGACTAAGATATTTTTGCTTTTAAAATCACGGTAAGCTATGGCTGACTTTCCCTTTAAAAAATCAAAATAAATTCACTAATCAAAACTCACTAAATAACTTACTTACTTCAGTTCCAAATATCTTCGTGAGCAGATGTACCAATCCATTGGCGATGAACAGGCCTAAACGGAGCAACTGTTGATGGGTGAGTGTGGTGCGATTTAGATGGTCGTAAAGACTACCCAATGGGTGGTAACGTGTGATCAACCACAGCTGAGTATATGAATTACGAGACGTCATATCCGACCCGATATATAATTATTATAATTTACCCTCAAAACCTCGGACTATGCAATTACAAAACGGTACTTTTGTATCAGTGACACAAGTACCGTTATTTATACAGGGTTGTTGGAAACAAAAGAGAGAGTCACAAAGGGGTCCCTCCATTCCTGGTGTACAAATACAAGTAAAATTATTTCCGGTGACTTCATCTAAAAAAATAAATAAATAAAAATGAGTTAATCAATCGGTGATTTGAATTTACTCGTGCCGGTTTTGCAAGTAGCGCCCTCTTTGCACGGTTTGTTATCACAAGTGATAAGTATGGTTCTTCGCATTGTTTTCCAGCGAAGCCTTCGGGACATTCGCACTTGAAAGTCCCGATTGCATCATTACAGGTGCCCCCATGTCGGCACGGATTACTCGCATATTCATCAATGTCGGTTTCACAACTGAAATGTTAAAATTAAGACAGTTGTTTTAAATTTTTGATATTTTACGTACTGTTCGCCCTCAAAGCCAGGTTCACACTTGCACTCATATTCGGCGATAAGATCAATGCAAGTGGCGTTATTTTGACACTCGTTTTTCTCACATTCGTTGATGTCTATTGCACAATCGTCGGCTGTAAAACCGGAGGGACAATTGCATTTGTAATATTCGAGAGGGTTTGCACACACTCCTTGATTGTAACAGTCGGTGGGGTGGCAGAGAATACAACCTATTTGGGGGCGATTTTCGGAATAAAGTTCAAAATAATGATATTTTTGGAACAGTTCACTCGATGGGAAAAACGGTAGTAAAATACCACCGATTCGAATCTCCTTAATACATCCCTGGAAAAAAAAATCAAAAACCGGTCGTAACCTTGTCATACCAACCTTAAAAAGATCAGTGGATTTGTTTTGGTCGACTTTAAACAACGAAACGTCGGAAAAGTAGTCATTCTCCTCGACTGAATTACTTGTAGTTGATGTTGTTGTAGTGGTATCACTGTAGGGGATATATCCAGTCATGTTAACATTGGAACTATTAATGATATTTTGATAGTCAAGTGTGACACCATCACCACCCGCGACTAAATATCACCAAAAGTTACGATATTTATAAAACCGTCAATATCAAAGTTGGCAACTTTCATATTTGGGGCCTCATCCATAACCATCTTTGAAACCGCCTTTCAAAATAGAATTTTTATACTCAAAATAGATGGTCAACCATTGACCTTCGAAATAATCCTTCCTGAACCGTTTACTATCCCCGATTTTGTTAATAGACCATTCCACGACAACCTCATTATGATAAATAAATATGGCAAAGAAGTCATCGTCATGTTTTGCGAAAAAATCGTCCCCCATGACCTCGTCCGATACGTCAATTCTAAAGTATCATAAGTCACAATTTTGGTCGAGTTGGCCAAGTCATTAGATGATATTTCAACGGTGGTGTTTTTCCATCAAAAGTCGCATTAGCGACACATTCAGATCCGTCTTCAAGATTTTTACAAACCGATTCTTTAGGACACCTCTCAATTTCACAAAATTCAAAATCCGAGCAATCTTTTCCTTTAAAACCACGCGTACAAATACACCGATAATCATTCCATGTGTTTTCACAAACACCGTTATGTAAACACGGATTTGTTCGACAGGAATTATCAGATCGGACTCCTTCAAGTACTGAAGTTTCGTCAAACCGAACCTCACCGAAAGATTTCGGAATATCTAATTCTTTAACGTTAAGTGGGAAAAATTCGACAATCATAACGATGATCCATTACTGATTTGCACGTCTTGGATGATTCCTTTGAAATAGACGTTACCTAACGGAGTGGCTATTACTGCCGATCATGTTGGTGAAATTGTATCGATTTTGACTAAATTGTCGTTGGCCTGGCGAACCGGGCGGGTTTGAGGAGGCCCCCCTAAAAAGAGAACTTGAGCGTCGAGGGTACCCGTCGCTGAGATCGTCTTGCGGAAATATTCAGTTCTGTTTAGTTTTACTTGCACCAGAGTGACGTTCCTGATGACCTAAAATAATAATAAATAAAAATATGTACAAGATTTTTTTTAATAAGCTTTCATTAAAAAAAATTATTGCAGAATTACTTTGCTTAGTTGATCGCCCCAAAAGTTTTTATAAATATTAAAACCTTAAGCTGTAAGCATAAATGTTTTTCTCTCAAAGAAAAAAAATATTTTTTACTTTTTTGTTAATTTTTTGAAATAAAAGCTGATTTTAAAGAAATATTTTTTATATACTTTTTTTTTCACTTTTTAGACTTCCTTTATTTATTGTTTTGTAAAATATTTTAAAAATTTTTATTTACTGAATAAAATTGAATCTGTGTCAAATAGTGATGTAAAAATTTCAGCCCCGTTATATCTTCGTTCCTGTGGGAGATAGGAGGTTAGTTTTGCCCTTACAGATCCCAATAACCTGAAGGGATTTTTCTGTTTTATCGAATGGAGTTAGTTCCATCTTCGTATTTCATTTAGGGATCGAGATATTATTAATTGTTTATAATAACTGTTAATTGTTTATGAATTATTAATTAAAGTAAATATAAACCAACTATCTCCAATGGCGATGTTGAAATTTCAACTCTTAATATCTTCATTCCTGTGAGAGATATAGAGTTGGTTTTGGCCTTTCACGCCCTAGTAACTAGTAGGATTTTTTGTTTTTTTTTCTGCTGTATCAAATTACTGGAAGTTTTTTTCTAAAATTTCTGTAATTCTTTTTTTTTAAACTATCGGAGATAATTTTGTTGAAATTACGTTGTGTTTCTTAGAACTATCGGAATTAAATTGGAATTAGAGGAATTCTTTTGAAACGAATGAAATTACTAGGATTTCGGTGATTTTTTTTTGGAATTATTAGAATTTTTCTAAAATTAGTAATTTTTTTGGGGAATTTTTAGAGATAATTTCTTTTCATAACGACGTTGAATTTCTTAGAACTATCAGAATGAATTTGGAATTTGAGGAATTAATTTGGAATTACATATAGGAATTACTGCAATTACAAGATTTTTTTTAATTGGAATTAATTGTACAATAACGGCCCCTTATAAATTATTAATTAAAGTAAATATTATTGTATTGTCACGGAAATAACATGTGTATGCAAAATTTGACTCGCAAGATTTCGTCCAAATAAACAAAGCAAGTTAAACAAAATCTTGTAAAAAGACAAAAATTGTGTTTTTTTTTGCTGAATTCTTACCTCAATTAAATGATCGTACCCATTGTCCAGCTTCACGCCGCCTACAGTATAGGCCTCGGGAGTGCCATTAAACTGTATCCTGACTAATAATTCGCCCCCTTCTAATTGTGCCGCAATATACGTCTCCTCAGCTGGATTCATTGTTCTCGGCAAGGACCCCAAATAAAAAATCTGACCTTTGGGTTGTCTCGACCTTATAAACATGCTTATGTCTACTATAGTACGAACAGCACGTCTTGCAGCACCATCCACATAAACCGTCACCAAAGAATTGGTTATGTTTTCATAACCGAAAGTCGCAGCTGTATAATCTGGAACCCAAAATTTGTAAAATTTGATTTCGACTTGAATTAAATTTA